GATGAGACAGATAAGTAGTGTCAGGGAAACAATGAACATGTACTTGAATAGGCTTTGGGAGAAAGTGGAGGATAGAAGGGCCTGGTGTGCTATGATCCATGGCACCATGGACATGACTGAACCTCTGAACAACAGTAACAATAATATAAAAGGCAGATAACGAGAGAGAGAGATGGAGACGTATGGGTAAGTCTCTTTCAGATTGAGTAGTCTATCTGCATATAAAAGGGTCAAGAAACTAACTCACTGAAGATTTTCAGAAATAATGTACTTGTTTCTGGACTTGCCTTTTCTCTGTCTTCTCATCAGATAAACAGCGATCAAAATCAGAGAAGCTGTCACTGCTAGCATTTGAGTAGTGGAAAAAAGTAAAAAAGAGGAGCCAAGACCAGCGAAGTGAGAGAGAAGGAAGGGATTTCTCTTTCCTTCCCCTCATCAACATTGGTGTCTTTCAGCAAGAGGACAAAGATGTAGAAGACATGAACAGTCAGTTTTATCATGTGTTTCTAAACACTTGCACATGTAATGCATGTTTTGAAAATCTGAATTTGTTCCAATGAAATTTATATATCAGGGAACATTTTGAGCATCACTCAAATTTTGAGATTGCTTCAGGGAAATTTCTTCTACTAGAAACAAGTGAGAATGCAGAAAATGTACCATTTCACGATAACTCATAAGCTACAACCCTCCCAATGCCAATTTCCACAAGCAAACTTTAGATCTTTCTCAAGGTAAAGTGCCATATTTATCATATATCTTCTGGTTCAGTAAGAGCTATGAGAGGAGATGAGCAGGTCTTCACCACTCCCATCCTGCTCTTCCACAACCCTAAAGCCCCAAAGTTGGGAATTTCAGTGGTGACCTGCCTAACTTGCTTGTGCAGACTGGAGCAGGTGCCAACGCTGCAGATGCAGTTACAATTTATTGTAATATTTACATATTTTTAAACTATTGAAAATGTATACAACTGTCCTACCATTTTTATTAGGTTCCTAATTTTTTTATATGTCATGATGAAGTTTTTGAGCATTGTGTCATTAACTCCATTTTCTTTATAAGCTCTGTAGTTTTTATTGGGTAATTTTGTATAGAACAGAGGTGCTGTTGGGGAATTAATATGTCCCATTAATAACAGAACTGCTTGTACTTGAGTGCAGCCTGAGAAGAAGTCCAGCTGCAAAGCTTAGTTGAGTTGTCAAGAGCATGATACTGCTGCTTAGGAGATGGCAGGCCTCATCTGAGACTGAGGCAGCAGATTAATGGAGGCATTTGCTGATGCCAGGGTTCTGCCTCTGCAGAAAAAGGCATGTCAGTACCCTAGGTCAAGATTTCAGTGGAGACGGAAGTAGAAAGGTAATAGTGAATTAATTCATGTAGTGAAGCCACATCTAGTAGAGACTGTGAGACCAACACCATAGGGAGCAATGTGAGGAACTCAGCTGACACAAACACATTTGCAAATAAAAAAGTCCCCATATTCACAACTGCAAAGTGGAAAGATTTATTAAGAGATTAAAAACTAAAAACCAGAGACTCTTCTGTGGTAGGAGGGTTGATCAGGGGACACATGACTAATTGAATCCCCTACTATAATAGATGAAATTAAGTGTGTCAGACTTTAAATGGCCCATTTGTTGTTTGACCAACCCCCATTGTGCCACCTGCTTTTGTATAGCCTGGGTTTTTGCATTTTTAAATCATTGAAACAAAATCAAAGGAAGAATATTTCATGGCAAATGTATAGCCTATATTAGATTGTGCGCCATCTTGGAGAGGGTGGTGGGGAGGAAGGGGGAGAAAAATTTTAAACTCAAAAGCATATGCAAGTGATTATTGAGAAATCAAAATAAATTAATAAAAAATTTAAAAAAAGAATATTTCATGATACATGGACATTTTTATAAAATTCAAATTTTAGTGTCCAAGTTTTAACGGAACATAGCCATGCTTGTTCATTTACTTATTGTCTATGGCAAAATGGCAGAGTAGAGTAGTTGTGATAGCAAGCATATGTGGGCTCTCATTGCTTTGAACCACTCACTGTTCAATGCACTACAAATTGTAGTGATAGACAAAATGAAAATGATGCAGATTAAACTTGAAAGTATATTGTGGCTTCCTTCTTCCCCCAATGCCCTCTCCTTCCTCCAAGCTGGTTGTTAACCATTTACTATACACCCCTGTGATAGTTCTACCAAATTCTAAGCCCAAAGTCCCTTTTGGGCTCTCATCCCGGCATCCTGGCTTCTCAGGTCTTCCTTATTGGGCTGACAGTAACATCTGGCCTGGTATCTGGCTCCAAGGTTACGATGGCTTGAGCTTCTGGGTGCAGAATTCAACCCCTGTACCCAGAACTCCCAGTCTGTTTCTTAGGGCCACAGGGCTGAAGGGGAAGGTAGCTCTTCCTCCCACCCAACTTAGTGAGTGAACAAGACCTTCACAGGCAGTCTGTGGCAATATATTCCATGATTCACAGCCATATAGCAAGCAGCATGGGGAACATAATGAAGTCTAGGAGGTCTTTAATTAAATGCAATTTAATAATTTTGCACTAAAGTCTAAATCATATAGAAACTTCAGAGGTGAAGTAGGGTCAAGTTCTTTCATGTCTCTGGGCCTGAGTTTCCTTACCTGCAAAATGAAGGGACTGGATTAAATGATTTAAAAATTCCCTTCCAGCTCTAAATTTACTATCCTAAGATCTGAGATTTCCCATTATATTGGGGTTCACATCATGTAGGGTTTCACAATCTAATGTTTATTTTTTAAAACCCCTTATTTTCATTATTAATCTAATTAATTAGATCCTTGTCACTCCTGTTTACTTCACCTGTAAAAGGAAAGCTTTTGACTACTAGGGATGGGGAACCTGTGGCCTCGAGGCCACATGTGGCCCTCTAGGTCTTCAAGTGCTGCCCTTCGACTGAATCCAAACTATACAGAACAAATCCCCTTAATAAAAGGATTTAGTCTGTAAAACTTGGACTCAGCCAAAGGACCGCACCGAGGACATAGAAGGCCACATGTAGCCTTGAGGCCGCAGGTTCCCCATCCCTGGACTAGATCATGCCAAAAGACTCTTCCCATGATAATATTCCAGGGTCATTTTGTTAGTCAGTAAATATTTATTAAATGCCTACTATGTTCCAGACAACTTTGCTAAATGGTGGGGGAATACAAAGAAATGAAAAAACAGTCTCTACTCTCAAAGAACCCACAGTCTAATCGGGGGCACAACATGCTAACAATTATGCACAAATCAGAGATATTATGAAGATTAAAATGAGAAGCCTTGGCAACTGATTGAACGTGAGGGGTGAGAAAGAGAGGAGTAGAAGATGACATCCAGGTTGGAAGCCTGAGTAATTGGGAAGACAGTGGTATCCTCAACAGTCATAGGGAGGTTAGGAAGAAGGCAAGATTTAGGGGGAAAGCTGATAAGGGTCTGAGGCAGAATTGAGACTCATGTCTTTCTGATTCCAATTCCAGTACTCTATCCTTTACCTGGCTCAATCTCTCTTACCCCCTCTTATCCAATCTGCTGCCAAGTCCCGTAGGTTTTACACTGGTAACATCTCTCAGATACCCCACTTCTCTCCAGTGACTTGTGCAGGTTATCACCTTATGCCTAGACAGTAGCCTGCCTTGGGCTCCCTGCCTCAAGTCTCTCTCCACTCTACACAATCCTCCACTCAGCTGTGAAAGCAATTGTCCCAAAGCATTGGTCTGACCACCTCTACCAGCTACTCAAGAAGTGCCCAGCACCTCTAGGATCATATATAAATCCTGACACCTGCAGTACTTTGAACATTGCTGTCTGTCCCCCCATCAGGAACTCTCACAATCCTCTTGGGTCTCCTATTTTGCCTGGCTTTTTTTCCTTCAAAGACCAAAATCTCACCTTCTGAAAGAAGTCTTTCCCAGCCCTCTTTTATCTTAATACCTTCCCTCAGACTACCCCCAAATTCTCCTGTATTTGTCTAGTTTGTACGTAGTTTCTGCATGTTGTCTTTCCCATTACACTGCAAGCTCCTTGAAAGGAAGAACTATTTTTTTTTTTTTTTGGTGAGGCAATTGGGGTTAAGTGACTTGCCCAGGGTCACACAGCTAGTTAAGTGTCAAGTGTTTGGTCTGAGGCCGGATTTGAAGTCAGGTCGTCCTGATTTCAGGATCGGTGCTCTATCCACTGGGCCACCTAGCTGCCCAGGATTAATTTTTTTTTCTCCCTTCTTTGTATCGCTACTGCTTAGCCCAGTGCCGGGCACATAGTAGGTACTTCATAAATGCTAGTTAGTTGACTGACCCTGAACAAATCACTCTTTGAACCTACTTCCTTATTGGCAAAACGGGGATAATAATAAGGATGTGGTGAGGCTCAAATTAGATAATGGAAAGCACTTTACAAATCTAAAAGCGCTCACAAATCCAGTTACCATTTAGTCAACAAATCAACAAACAACGATAATTTGGAGTTCAGGCTGGCCCCAAAGAGCTGCAAGGCAGCCTGGGAGTTTCAGGTTTATAGAAGGCGGAGCCTGGGAGGGGTGGGCGGGGCTGAAAGAAAGGCCGCACAAGAGCACCGCCGGAGCTTCTGTCAACAAAGACCGAGGCGCGCCCGTGAGCGACGGAGGCTGAGAACGTGTGGAGCGTGCGCGTGTCCGCCTCGCAGCTGCAGCCTATGAACGGAAAGCTAGGGGACAGGACGTGCGCGTGACCGCCCTACTACATGAGCCTGTGGCCGGGAGGGCGGGGCGGGACAGGGACAGAGCCCCGACACCTAGAGCAGCTGGGGAGGGGCCCGGAGAAGGGGAGGTGACGCCCCTGACCCAGGGAAGGGGCGGGGCGGGGCGTGGAGGTAGCGCGAGCTCGGGGGAGTCGCTCTCCCTCCAGCCGGCCTCGCTGCCCTGCCCTCCTCTTCCTCCTGCCGCCAGCACCAGCTCCGCCGCCGCTCGGTCGCCGTCAGTGGGTTATGGCGGCGGCGGCCCCGGGGGCCGTGAATGAATTCTCCGGGCGGCAGAGGGAAGAAGAAAGGCTCCGGCAGCGCCGCGCCCGCTGGGCCCCCGCCCCCCTGCGCGGGCCCCGCCCCTCCCGCGGCCGCCGGCCAGTCCCCGCATAAGCGGAACCTCTGCTACTTCTCGTACCCGCTGCTGGCCACCTTCGCGCTGCTCCGCTTCGTCGCCTTCCACCTGGGGCTCCTCTTCGTGTGGCTCTGCCAGCGCTTCTCCCGCGCCCTCATGGCCGCCAAGAGGAGCACCCGGGCGGCGGCCACGGCGGCCACCGGGCCGGGGGCGGCGGCCTCGGCCCCGGCCCCGCCACCCGTGCCGGCGGGCGGGGAGGCCGAGCGGGTCCGCGCCTTCCACAAGCAGGCCTTCGAGTACATCTCCTTCGCCCTGCGCATAGACGAGGACGAGAAAGGTAACGGAGGTGGGTGGGAGGGCCATCTGGGGCTCTCTGCAGCAGCCCCTCGTTGGGGAGGGTCCCCAAGGCGCTGGAACTGGCCGCCCGTCGCGGCGCCTCTGCGGCTGCTCGCTGCAGGACTCGGCCCATCTTAAGCAGCCCGCGGCCCCCGGGGAGCCCGAGAGCGCCCCTGTCACCAGCCGCGCCCCCCCCCCCCAGTGCGTGACAAGCGGCTGCATGACAGCTTTGGCCGGCCCGGCGATGACCGCGCCGACTGCCCTGCGGTGACTGCCCCGCGGTGACCGCCCGGCGGCAGCGTCAGGCCGGGCCGCGCGTAGTGGCCTCCAGCCCGGGCCGAGTCTGCTGCCCAAAAAGCCGCTCGTTCACCACGATGGGTGATTGCGGCTGGTTTTAAATAAAAGCAGATATTGTAATAGGGAGGAAGAAAATTGAGCGGGGGTCTTATGAAGGAAATAGTGTTTTTATTACTGTATTTGCGTTAGCTTAACAAAAACTAAGTTTCCCGGCCTTTTTTTTTTTTAAACGGTAAAATGACATGTAATTTCAACTTTTGACACTTGTATACGGGAAAATTAAGTCGATTTTCATAGCATTACTTTTACTGCCGATTTTATTAACTTCATTTTACCTAACTCTCCCCAAAGAAACTTGAGAAATATTTGAATGGCCTGCATATACTGTTATGTAAATTGTGGGAAGAGCCTAAACCTATTGATATCATATTGTTTGACTTCTCAGTGGAGGAGAAGGGCTAGTAGGAGGGGGAGAATTGGGCACTCAAATTTTTTTAAAATGTTAAATAATTATTTAGGAAAAAAACCTGGGGGCAGCTAGGTAGCGCAGTGGATAGAGTTCGGCCTTGGAGTCGGGAGGACCTGAGTTCGAATCTGCTCTCAGACACTTGACACTTACTAGCTACTAGACACTCACACTTACTCACAGGTCACTTAACCCCAATCGCCTCACCAAAAAAAAAAAAAAAAGAAAAAGAAAAAAGAAGAAGAAAAAAGAAAAAAAATCTAAATCAAAACATAACAGGGACTGCCTTAATGTAAAGTGTAAGTTTTAATTAGAAACAATAGAAATATTTTTGGAATTACAGAACCTCTCATAATGGTCTTCATTGTGTTTTGTTTGCTCATTTCACTCCCAATTTTACTTGCATTCTAGATTAATAAGCAAAGAGTTAGATTACAGTTTTCTCAGTGACTTTCTGTCAGTGTATTACTGACAGTGTATTCTGTCAGTGTTTTCCTCTTTTCCAACACATAGGGGGGAAAAGGTGCAATAATTGTGAAGACCAAAACCACTGTGGCTTGGAATCAGTTTATCAAAAAGCATTTTTTTAAGCACCTGCCTTGTTCTAGGTACTGTGCAAAGTGCTGGAGACACAAAAAGAGTCTTTGCCTTCAAAGAACTTACCTTAAATTGGGGGAGACAATATGTGAATATGAAAGTGTTTAAGTTAACTTTTGGGGAATAAGCAGCTAACAGCTGGGGAGAGCAGGGAAATTTTGATGGGGATAGCTGTTGAACTGAGCTTTGAATGAAAGGAGGGAACTCCGAGGTGAGGGTAAGGTATGCATGGGGGATAACAGCATGTGAAAAGGCAGGGAGAGAGATAGAAGATGAGATATCTTATGTGAGGAACTACAGTGGTGGCTAGTTTTTTGGCATTCCTGCTGGACTTGAAGGGGAGTAATGCAAGTCCCTTGGAACCTGCCAGTAAAAAGCTTTAAATGCCAAAGAAAGAACTTTGTATTTAATCATAGAGGTAGTTGGGAATAGGTAATCTCCAGGCAGAGGGAGCACAAGAGTGACACGGTCAGATCTCGGAGAAGAGGCTTCCACCACCAAAGAGTTGGATATCCAGTTTTTCTACCCTTCTGTTAAATCCTGGGATAGCAAGGGAGGAATCTTAAAAAGAAAAAGACCACAGTAGTCTGTCACTTTTTTCATAGTCCTGTGAAGTAGATAGTTCCAAGTATTATGCCCCTTTTACACATAAAGAAACTGAAGTGAAGTGCGGGGAGGTGAAGTGACCTGCCCCAGGGGAGGAGTCAGGACTTGAACCCTGATCTGTCTTGGTTCAGGACTCTTTCCATTATATCACACTGACAAACACTGCTCTATTGTAATGAGGCATCTGTCACTTACAAAGAGTTGCTCTAAGCCACAAGGTGTCTAAAAATAAATGTTTCTTCTCTGAGACTGAGGACTTGGAGATAAGAGTTTGTGAACTACTGTAATTTGGGAGGGAAAGGGAAGAAGACAAGAAGGGAATGCCACATAATGTCATTCAACACTGAAATTGATTATGGACCAGGTGAAAAAAGAATCTAGTTATACTAATAATAACCCACCTTTGCACAGGATTTCATGGATGGTGAAGTGTTTTCTCATAACAGCTCTTTGAAGTGTGATTAGTCCAAGTGGTACAATCTTAAATTTCATAGATGAGGAAATAGTGTTAAATGAAGAGATTTATCCACAGTTGTACAGTTGGTTTAGTGTTGGACCTAGTATTTAATCTTGGCCTTTTGATTCCCAAACCCATTCCTCTTCTCACAATATCATGATGTCCAAATAAAAATAATGAAGTCAAAAGATAGCTTATACTTTATTGTGGATTAGTGCTTATACTTTATTGTGGATTAGTGATCTCATTGGTCTGAATACTCCCCCCAGTGGTACAAAATGAAACTTTTTTGTGCCTTCTCTCATCCCTGTATGATTCTTTTGTGTATCCTGCCCAGCATGCTAACGGTCTTTTCTAGGGCTTTTGGTATCTTAAAATTAATTTTAATTCATGAAGTGTCATAATACTTTTTCTGAGTTCTATCAGGATTCTTTCAAAAAATGAGTGAATGAAAATGAATATCTTTTATCACTGTCTTACTATGTAGCTGACCCATTTTTTTAGTCTTTTATTTCTTTCTTTTTTTTTAATTGATAGTACATGATAGTGTAATTATATCCAACCTTGTTTTCTCTTTACACTTAGGGGCAACTTGTGGCATAGTGGATAGAGAACTGGTTTTGAAATCAGAAAGACTTGAGTTCAAGTTCAGCCTCACACACTTCCAAGCTGTGTGACCTTGGGCATATCACTTAACCTCTGTTTGCCTCAGTTTCTTCAACTGTAAAATGGGGCAATAATAGGACATATCTTGTAGGATTATTGTGAGGATAAAATGAGATAACATTTGTAAAAAAGTGCTTAGCATTGCTCCTGGCATATTGTGGACTTTGTATAAATGCTTAATCAACCACGCCTTTTGCCATCATTCTTTGGATTACCTACTGTATTCTAATGAAATTGTCATATTCTACAGATTGGCTGTGGGGTGTAGTAAAAAGAGTACTGTATTTGGAGTCAGGAAGACACTTTTTTTTCCTGGGTAGATTAGGTATTTCTTTATTGGTAGTGGTTCTCTTTTTCCATCTGGGGTTTCAGGGTTTTCTTCAGTCAAGCACAATGTTTTATCTGCAGGCAGAGGTACCTGGGTAACCTCATTGTCAGGGAATTTCTTTTCCTTTTGGAGTTTATGCAGGATCTCTTCCATAAGAGTGGTAAACTTTTTTGATGAGTATATATCCCTCTTAAATTCTTTGCTAAATACAGATAATCAGAAGATTGATGAACACAGGTTAATTCTGTGGTTGTATAGTTTAAGGAATCTTGTACTATCATGTGTGAAAAATATCTTTTTTGGAGGTGAATCTTTAAACCTGTTTTATTCCATTAAGCCTATTTTATAATCAACTAATTATAAACAGACTCATGTTTTATATACTTCCCATTCATTTGTGTGACTGAGAAGATGCAGTCTGCTATAATTAATTTTCCACTAATACCTCCTTGTTTTCTTCTCATATTTTTGTCAGTGATGTCCTTGATATGTTTGAGGACCATTTTCATAAAGGTTTTATAAAGAAGAAAAAGTAGGCAGATGGATTAGTTGCTACTGATATTTTTTGGCCACTTTTTTTTTTTGGATGATCTTTATTCTTCTTCAAATATTACCTTATTTGAGAGCTTGAAAATCTATCAACAAGCATTTATTAAACATTTATTTTGTGTCAGGTACTGTGCTAAGTGCTGGGGATAGATATACAGGCAATCCTGCTCTAATGCAACATAGGAGTTCCCAAAAAGCACCTCAGTATGTAAAAATAAACCTCACAGAGTTTATGGGCAAAATAGAGGCACAGTGCTCAAAAATTTCGTTGGTGATACATTAAAAAAAAAAGATAGGAACCTCATTTTAAAAAATAATAGCACATTTTTATACATGTCAAATGGTTAAGAAATCCATAAATACTACAGTAAAGTCTGTGCCCATGATTTGAGGGTACTGCGCTAGGCTACACAAGCAAATTTGGCAAGTCACCACTGCAGTTATGGGCTTGGGCCCAAGGCCATGGTGGAATGGTGTGTGCCAGACCTTCTCCAATCACAGCTCCTACTGCACTAGAAGATATATACAGTAATTGTTGCCCTTTACCTTGACGAAGACCTAACGTTTGCTTGTGGAAGTAGGCATTGCGGCTTTTGAATTATTGTGAATTGGTGCTGTTTTCTGCATTTTTGCTGTTTCTAGTGGAAGAAATCATGCAGAAGCAAACTTGAAATTCTTGCTATGTTCAAAATATTCCCTAAAATACCAATCACATTGGAACACATTTCTCATTTTGATAACACAGGTTGTAGCAGAATTGACTATATAAGCAAAAAGACAGTCCCTGCCCTACATTCTAAAATGAGCTGAAAGTAGAGGTGAGGAATAGTACTCACATAGGGGCAAGGTGAAAAAGTAGTCAGAGAGTCAGAAACAGAGCTAAGAAAGGAATGAAGGATGGCTGGCCTCAACCTTTCCCAAAAATGGAGCTTCTAAGAGCAACTTCTAGAAGCATTCCCATGACTTTCTGTCTTGTGTTTTCTGTCTTCTTTTGGGTTCAGTGTGTTCACTGAGGGAAGGTGGCAAGGGACCAGG